TATCGTTTTGATATTTTATGTCTTTCTGCTGTGATTTAGTTTGCGTGAAGAGAAGTTTCGTGTACAAGGACAATCGCACTTCTGTAAAGGAAAGTAACTTACCTAAAATTTTATATATACATTTTAGTTTATTCCTAACCCTGTTTATTAATTGTTCGATATTGTGTAAATTCATATTTCATCGGATGGTATGAAATATAATACTCGAAGCCAGAATTCATTATACTCACACACACGCCTGACTACTTTATGTGGCGTGCATTCGAATAATAATTTCATACGTCCCCCAAACTCAGTAGTTTCATTAAACGACAATTGACACTGCGGTGTCAGGTTCAAAGCGACAAATACCAAAGCCCCTATTGAATACGATACTGAACCAGTTCAATCTATGTCCTACCTTCCAACCTCGGAACATACCTCCCCAATACGTTTCTAAATATTGTCGTCCTATCTTCATTTCAGTCTTTCAAACTGACTTTCTACAGAGGTTTCCTCACCAAAATTTGTATACAATTTTTGTCTGCCCCATTCTTGCAATAAGCCCATCCCATCGTGTCCTCCCAAATTTCATTGCCCTAATAATACTAAGCGACTTGTATAGCTCACACATTTCCTCGTTAAAAGATGGGTGTATCACCACTCACTTCTCCCTTCATAGAGCCAGTATTCGCCGTGCAATTTTGCTTACGGAAATTTTTGATTGATACCCCATGCGTGCGACGCAAGAGGCCTCGTTTCACTCACATTAAGAACTAAGTAAAGTAAATTGAATTTTTTCCTGAACGAAATGTGTCTGTTGAACGGAAAGTTGCCGGTGTGCAGAGTGCCAGGAGAGGGGGTGGGGGCTCGCCGTGACATCGTTCCTTTTTGCTGTAAGCTGTCTCGATGGACATCAACTGCAGTCAGACAACTTTCTCGCAGTAATACAAATCCCTGTTTCTGACTACATATTTCACGACACCTTGAAAATAATCATAAAGCAAAATGTATCTTCAAAATATAACGCGGAATGGTTAAAAGGAATATTTTCTCACACTTCAGTTTTAGTTAAAGCTGAAAGCACAATAAATTAAATAAATATCATAAATATAGATACTACAGTAATGAAACTTTCACATGGGAATGTAGGAGGCTGGGGTCAAAGGTGAACGTGATGCGTACAACCTTAGTTCACTAAGACAGATACTGTGTTTCACAACGGCTTACGTTTAGGTGTGAAAATTAAAAAATCCTTATTAATTATGTCACTTCTGCCCTGGGGGCGTGAAAGTTATTAAACTTCTAATGTAATTTTAATTCCTATACTACGTGAAAAAGTTTCTCATAAAAACAATCAAGAACCTGCAAGAGGTTAGCTTAGTTTGAAGTACAATGGCGTGCTTTGGTGTCATCTTTCTATATTTCCGGAAGAACAGTTACGTAAATATCGTTCTGTTGCCTTAATACACAGCATGACTTTGCTGCCATCTGTCGTGCAGAACGAGAACAACAACGTTGCGAAACACATGAAAAAACTCGTATGTTAGCACGTCTTGGGCGCCGTATTACGCATTGCAGTCAGTGAAATAATGCAGACACCTTTTCTATTTACTGAAGCTTCCGCCTCAAGTACATATGTCATTAGGGAGGTACAGGGAAACCAGGTGGAACTGAAATTAAATGGGACACATCAGTTGCTGGTCTATGAAGATGACGCGAATCTGCTGGGTAATAACATTGATGCTATGAAGAAAAATACATAAATTTGAAATGGAGCTAGCAAGGAGTTTGATCTTGAAGTAAATACAAAGAAAACGAAGCATAAGTTGCCGTCTCGTCACCAGAATGCAGGGCAAAATCATGACATAGAAGTAACTAACAAATCTTTTGAAAATGTGGCGCAGAGCAGATATCTGGGAACACCTATAACCATTCAAAACCTGATCCAGGAGGAAATTAAGGGGAGACTGAACTCGGGTAATGCTTGCTACCATTCAATCCAGAACCTTTTGTCTTCTCGTCTGCTGTCTAAAAATGTAAAAATTAGAATATAGAAAGAATGCCGTCTTCTTGGGTGTGGCTCCGTATAGACGTTGTGTTAACCGGAGTTTCGGAGGAAAGTACCGCCTCCATCTTCAGGATATAATAAATCCGCGAGCGATGAACCAGGGTGAACAGGTGGCTGCAGTGTAGCTTAGGTGCCACATAACAAGGAACTTCGTGGTTTAGAGAGATAATCTATCATCGATTTTAATACAGTGAAATAAGAAAGCCTATACTGTGGCTGGACATATGGATGAGAAAGAGGAGAAAAAATACGTACAGAAGAATCCCCTCGGGAAACGTCCGTTTACAGAAAAATATAATATAAGATAAATCTTAGGAGGCTACGTGGTGAAATGGAGGTGTGTGAAACAGGCACAGAAACGGAAAAGTTTAAACCTTCGAATTTTACTCTCGGAGAGTTAGCGTGCTGTTCTTTTCTGGGAGAGTTATGAAGCTGGCAGTTGCTGCTTGCCTCACCTGACACATGCTGATTCCGATACATTAATGAAGTCGATATTATTAACAAAAAGCAAACTGAGTTATCAGTAGTACTGATTAAATTTCTGAAATTGGGAGCCTCATCGGGCCCGCCAAAAATGCTAATCATTAATTACCATACATCTAAAATCACAAGAAAATGCCACGTTAAGTTAAAAATATACAGTTCGATAGAAGAAGTACTTTATAGACATAATTAAGGTTCATTAGTAATTAAACAGTAAATTTTAAATCAAATTTAAGTAATTTTGATTCTTTAAAATCCAGTGGTACTACATGTACCACGTGGTTAAACACATCTGAACTCTGTTTCTGCTCACGCAGTGTACTCTTGTGCTTCATATGGTCCTCACAATAAACAGCAGTTTTTCCCCTAAACAGAATTAACCGACTGGTATTTGTGGAGGAGATCTAATATGTTTCCTCTGATGTATGAACTGAATATTGGTGACTTCAAAAGCATGCATTCGCACAAAGGAAGTTTCGTAATAAACAAGTTTTGGGAACATGGGATTAAATAATAGACAGTATTTGTTCTTAGAAAATTAAACTTCTTCTGTATTTGCCTAAAAAAAATTTGAATAATTTCTGTTACATCGTGAATAGCTAAGATATGGATACGAATCAATTTAGATCTGTTTGAAGATACTAGCATCGAATTAATTCGGATATGCTGAAAAAGTTATGAACTGTCAGAAATCGAACTTCCTCCTAGACAGTGAAAAATTATATATATTTTTGTCATTAGTTTAATTGTAGAATTCAATAGACGTCTCTGTGTGGCAAACAAAAGCAACAATGCGCTGTGGCCATGTGCTAGGAGCGTAGCAACACAATTGTTCCACTCCATAAGCAAGAGCCAGCCCACCCTCTGTCTTCACTATGGAGAGAGATAAAACAGAATAAAAAAATGGAAGAATGAAAAATCTCATCATTGCATCGTCATCATCATCATCATCATCATCAGCTGTATAGACTGACTCGCTCCAAGTTTGAAATACCACTGATTTAATAGCTGCTGAGTTCCCTAGGGACGAATTTTCCTGTCTCCCACCCCCCTTCTGTAGCGTCTATATAAGTTTGGCAAGAGCGTAGTATCCAGAAACATTTCGAGTGTTGCATAAGGGGTGAACATTTGCGCTTGTGTTAGAAAATAATGCTAACCACCACAGATAACGGTCAGTGTGACTTAATGCTTTGGGATAGTTATGCAATTAGAATTAGTTATTTTAATTTTATAATTTGTATGTCAAAATGAAGGTCAGTTATGAACTGTCTTTAAAGACAGATTTAATGTCACGATTGGTAAGTTCAGAAATAAGGTAAGTGTCAGAAAAGTGATAATAATAATAATAATAATAATAATAATAATAATAATAATGTGGTACAAGTTCTCTTTGGTTTTCATACGTCATTAAAATACTTTAATTTCAAGCCTATGTTTCGTATTATCAGAGTGTTTCTATAATTTAGGCTGTGATATGTTACTTTTTCAGTCGACGGAATCTTCACTGAGGGTAATATTTATGGTTAAACGAACTGATACACAAAATATCAGACACTCATTGCTGGCTGATGGGTCTTATGTGTGAAGTCAGCTTGTACCGGTTCTCACGGTCTCTTCGCTTGCGGATTTCTTATTTTTCCTTCTACCCTGAAGATGAAGGAGATACGTTCCTCCGAAACGTCGGTTAACACCACATCTACACGGTGCCACATCCCAGAAGACTGCTTTCTTCATAGTCACCGCCGTACAAACTTCAAATCTTACACGGTCTTATGCATGTTTTCGTTAGGGATATTTAATTGATTATCCTATGTAGGATTATATACCAATTCTCCTATTTCGAAATACATCGGAATCAGAGGTACAGAGAGACGTCTCATGCTGAAATTTTCCGTAACTATAGAGTTCTTGGTAAAGTGGTAATTAATTTTAATATTCATATTACTCTCCTGAAATCATGAAGGTAACGAGTCTCTCTTACGTGTTTATCACCCTTCCTGTTCTTCCGCAAGTTTATGGTTGTCAACTAACTCTATTCGTCTCTTTCTCACCACATTTCAATCGCTGAAGTACATGTCCAAGCCTGTTGTCTTTTAAATGCCGTTACTGTTACGTTTCATGCTTTGTATATCGGTTTTGGAAGTCGTTCTCCCTAGAATGTAACATGTTCTACCGTTTTGGTTCACTCATCATTTATTCTGTTATTTGAAAAATATATTTGTGTGGCTTCTTTAGTTCAATTTAATATACCTTCTCGACCTCTGCTGTTAGCCTCTCAAAAATGAGCTTAAAAATGTTTATAAACTGACACCGACATAGTATTAAAATATTTTCATCCGATAAAGCAGTTATGAGTAATATTTGCCATTTTTAATTTTAATTATGTTAGTATAAACTAAAATTAAGACAATATACAGGGCGTTTCCTCTTAGTCACGTGTGTGTCTGACCGCTATTTTTTCGCTTAGGCCCCGAAGTGCCCAAGGAGGTGGCCGTGTCGACTGAAGTAAGCAGCCTAGGTCCGCGCGGCACTGCACCCTTCACTGTGGCCTCAAGTATGCTGCTACTGCACACACAGGTAAAGTTTAACTCATAAGAATGTTAAAAAAATGCGACGAGTCACTTGGTGTAAATTCTGACACGGGATTTTAAATTTAAAAGACATAATGGCCGCGTGGAAGAAAATATACAAGTTTTATAAAATGAGCTTGTAAGAGCTGTAAACGGCTTTCCATGTGTCAACTTATTAATTTGGTACGAAAATAAGAGAAATTAAAACGGGCCCTGGAAAGGCTATGAACGTGAAATATTGCTGTGGACATATCCTTGTCAGAATTTACAACAAGTTCTTCGGATGAATCTGCTTTAAGTCTCAGTAGCAATGTTGTGTCTGCTACGTCCTTGAGAATGTAGCATTAGATGTTCATCGTGTCTACAGGTGTCTCTGTAAGAACGGATGGGATACAAATTCCTGTTGGTATATCATTTGCAACACGTTTTCTGAGTGTTACGGACACAAATCCTCAGCAGGAGAAATAGAAAAATATTTTTGACAGATGTAATTTAAATTATGTGGAGTATAAGTGGTGCTAACATATGCTAACTTAGCTAGACGACAGAGTAAAATAAATTACGATTAATTTTTACCTTTGAAGTTTTTCTCCAAGAAGCAATTTTTTTACCTCGGAAACATAAATTTGTCATAACATATTCCCACATTGACAAACCCCTTCTGGTACAATTAATGACAAAAATATTCCAGTAAAATTCAAGGCAAATTATTTTAAATGTGATTGAAGGAACGTTGCAGTATTTTCACAGGTATAAACTATAAAATGTAAAAGACAATTTAAAATATTGCGAACTGTACAGATTGAGTTAAGTTTCTATGGATACGAACGTGTGCTTTGACACCACACGGAAGTCGTGTAGACCCTCTCTAAATAATTAATAGCTACACCACAACTATTGAACTGTTATAATATATATTTCAAAACTCAGAACAAATTATAATTCAATTCCATAGTTGGGACTAAATGTTTGTGTGCAACATGAGAACATCATTTCCTCTCCTTCATCAGATATTATGATTATTAGTCGTCTCCAAAAATATCCGTCACGTTGCCCGTAGGTCTGTACACGTTTCATCTCTCAAACTTCTTTATAGGTTCTGATGATATTTCGTGTAGGAGATATGCACTAAATTTATCGGCGAATTTATTAATGACCTGCTCTATGTGAAGGGACTAATTAATATTCCTGTATATTTCGTTAAATATACAAAAAAATGTAAAAATTGTTTGAAATAAATATTAGATATTTAATGAGGTGAATATTTGTAGTGTAAGTTATAAGTCCGTGGAGCGGTGAGTTTTCGAAAATAAAACGCTTATTGATTCTGTAATCGCAAGCCATCCTGCCGTTATTTTAATTTATGTCCGTGAACGTTATAATTTCATATATTATAATAATTCTAAAAGTCGGAAAAATTATGGAGCCTTGTAGGCTCACATTTCATATTCGTACAAATAGGACCTTAGTAACGTGTGTGAGTGTAAATAATTGCTTTTAATATTTCTAAAAACTTACATAAACGTTAACTTTATTATAAAGTTTGACTTCATCGAATTGGTATCAATGAAAACGCTTAATACTTGTATTGTCCGTGTTCAGAAAATTTCAAAATGAACTCAGGACTGTTCCCTTAGTCTATACGCTTCTCGCTTTGGTGTCTAGCGCTATTGTTCCTTTGATTCATGTTTTACGTTTCTATAAACTAATTATGAATCTGAAATATTTACAGGCGACTGTCTTGTGAAACATGCTTTTCATATACTAACTTTCACAAATTACATTTCTGAAAGGAAAGTCAAATTAGTGTCACTGCATACAAGACGTTCGCAAAGTTAATGGACCACTTGCTGTCTCAGTCGTTTCCAGCAGAGTTTATTTGCTTTCTCTCTTCCACACATTTCCTCATCTCATTCTCTTTTCTTGGTAAAGCCGCATTCGAAGTCGAAAAGATTAAATGATGCAATAGTCAATCATAAAGCAATCACGAAAAATAATCACACATTAAAGTGATTTCACCTCTTTGAAATGCTACTTTACGATTGTGTAATCTATAGGACCTATAGGGGCAATGGCATGAAACTTATGAGGTATTAATTGAAAAGTATATGCAAGGAAACGGTCATAAGCTGTCTTAATCCCAGAATTTGCCTGTAATGAGTGATGAATACCAAGATAATTTTAAGCGAACACGAGTTCTCTAGAATTCGAGGCAGCAAGCTAACCACCGCGACTTCAGCCATGATGAAGTTCCTAAAATCCTTCTATAATGTATTCGTTTCTATGCACTTGTTTCTTTCTTGTGTCATTCATTGATGACGTTTCGCCTCGAAACATATCGATCACTGGCACTCATCTCAAGAAGCTGAGGTGTTTCATGGACGTTACACAAGTTTCTTTATTGTTACTTTATTAAATTAATTGTTCAAAGATTAAATGGTACCCCTTACACTTGATATGATCAAACACTTTATTCTATGAAGGGTGTTCTCCCCTCCAAGCGGTATTAAATTTCTTTATGGGGGAGTTCTTTGAATACTCGGATTAATGTCATTTTTCCAAATGCAGATATCAAATATCATGTTATTGTCACCATGAAAATTGTTCGAAGTGTCTTTTATTACTCACTGTGCTGCCATCTGTTTAACGTTTCTTTCGAATTTAATTTTGAGCTATTTAGTAAAGTGATTGACTGAAGGACTAGGCTGAATGAGACTGGCTATTCATCTCCATTTAATGCTGAGGCTAAGAATGCGTGAACCTTTACTCTTCACAGTGTGGTGCAAACACAGGAGCAGAGCCCCTTATCTTTGCATTGCTCTTACTTCTCACGGTGTGGTGCAAACACAGGAGCAGAGCTCCTTATCTTTGCATTACTCTTACTTCTCACGGTGTGGTGCAAACACAGGAGTAGAACTCCTTATCTTTGCGTTACTCTTACTTCTCACGGTGTGGTGCAAACACAGGAGCAGAGCTCCTTATCTTTGCGTTACTCTTACTTCTCACGGTGTGGTGCAAACACAGGAGCAGAGCTCCTTATCTTTGCATTACTCCTACTTCTCACGGTGTGGTGCAAACACAGGAGCAGAGCTCCTTATCTTTGCATTACTCTCACATTATTATTTAGACTCATCTCCTATAAACAAAAGTGTTTAATTAGATGTCACAAACTGAGCGATAGACCCAGCAAATTTCTTCCCTTTTCTTACAGTAAGCGTTCCCTCTCTTTTATTACAAAAACTCTTAAAATATCGAAAATATATTCACCTTTTGGGGCGTCGAAGAATTTCATCAGATCTTTTGCGTCTTGTTAGATGTGTACCGCCAAAACTGAAAGCATTTTAAATCATTCCATACGTGTGTTGCATAATAATTCGTAACGACTAAGCATTCAGCCTGTTTCTCATACGTAAACATATGTAGAGAGTAAGGGGGTTAACATGATTAAAACAGTTAAAACATATATAAAAGTGTTATTCTGTAGATATCATAACATTTCAGTTTATTAGAATTCGTTCGCTGTGTTCGGGTTAAGTTAAGGAAGTGCTCTGAAGTGGAATGGAGATTCGCTGTCCATACCGGACCCGTTTTGCAGGAACAGATGTTCGTGTTATGAGTTCCGTCAGACCAACGGAGTTGTCACACTCAGACTCGAAGCTTGAATGACCGGTTGGGCACTTTCCCGGAACGGGTTAGGCCATTTATCTTTTCGAGCGGGGGAGTGGGAGGGGGAGGGGGAACGGAGGAGTTGGCAATGTGTAAAATATCCAGATTCTGTGAGCACGGTAGTATATAATTGAAGTACATACATACAGCTCCTTTATTACGCAATTTGTTTCGGCATTTTGGCCGTCATGAGGCCAGTTTACGTATATCATCGCTTAATGCTGTTAGCTGCATGCATCGGCCAGCGTTTGCAAACTGAATTTACATACATACATACGTGATACGGCTGCTGAGATCACTGTACAAACTATAATGGCCAAGTTGGCTTTGTTACAATATTTTTATTAAACTTTAAAAGTTAGGATATACAACATTTTCTCCAGAACTTTTTCAGACGAACAATCACTCAAAATAGAATTATTAGATAAGATTTGAAAGTTTGTGGCGAAGGTATATTAATACAATTATTGTGATTTGGGACAGACAGTATTCATCGTCTTGGAGATAGGGACTAGATCTATCGATTGGGCCTTAGTAGATTTCTACCTGAAGACGGATACCGGATCCAGTCTCCGAAACGTTATAAATAAAAAACGGATGATGGGTAATGTCCAAGAACATAATAATTATATAATTATTTGTCTGTGAGGTTTTCATCTGCATTTAATATTCTGACCATGTGCTACTTTTTTCTGGCATGTTTGTGTAGCTAATTACCTCTTGTGCTTTCAGCCAGTGTCTGAGCCGTGTTCTAAAGTGAATTAGTCCTGTTGTATTGTATTGGGGCTTTTTATTTTTCTTTGATTAGTTTTGTCATGGTTATTTAGTACGCTTCTTATTCTGCACGTGTGATAGGTCTCTTCTTAGTTTATTTCCATTGTTTGGGTTTGTGATTTGATGTGTGCCTGCCACTACAGGCTACGCAGAGAGCAGAGTTGAAGTTTCACACCTGCCCTAGAACAAGCGGAGTGGTTAGCTTCGCTCCCAGCCAACTTTCCCTCCAGAAGTAGGTCTAACTTGGGTCGAATGGAGTAGGAAGGTGATCATAAAGTAAAGGATTTGGAATGAGACGGTCCTACCGTATTTCAAAATAATGCCCCATAATTATATGAAATATCTGAGGAAATCCACGAAACTCTCAGTCAGCGTAATGGTCTCCCGGCTGAGATTCGAACCGACACCTGCCGAATACTATGCCAGAACGTGTCCATTGCAACAACATTATCAGCAGCTGTGTTAATTTAGTCAAACAGCCAATTACCTTCTGAGAAACCCCGAAGTAATTTTTGTAGGTATTTATTAAATTTCTCCATGTTATTAATTATGAACTACCCCATGGAC